ATATTAAAAACCATACTAACAAAAAAAATTTTATACCTGAGTTTAAAAAAAACGATTATTCGTATTTATGTAATTAGTTTTCGACGAATTATATTTCCTTTGATAAACATCCTACGATTTTGATGTCTATTTATAACTGTCTCATTCAGCATTCCATTTTTATTGCTTTAATTAGGAAACGTGTACTTTTTATCAGCTATTCCACCCAGAGACCATAATAGTGACCTTTGCTATGTATGGTTATAATATTATATTAAATAAATCCTACAATTGCCTTACTCTTGAAACTGTGCATTCGTCAGATTCTCTCGAAATTTAGTTTTTTGAAGGTTTTACTTCTTACACGTGTGATCTGCACACATGATTTTTTTCTCGTTTTGAATATAATAAACTTAATATTAATTTATGTTACGTACACTTCATCAATACAACAACGCATCACTCATGCGTATATATGAGAATTGATAGTAGAGATAGGAAATTTGTTTCTTTTTCTTCTTTATAAGAAATTAATTTTTTTTACAAAAAAAGCCTTAAATGGCATTTATACTTCTAAATGGTTCAGGTAAAATTTTTCATCGATTTTAACGAACAAGATCTTGTAGAAAATATTATTTTCTGAGCAGTTAAATGGATCTACCTAATTATTAAAATAGGTATATTTTTACGACTGAACCTTGCCAAGGACTCTATCATTAAGTAAGACCTATTTCGTAAGAATCGATTTAAAAAGTTTGTGGACTGCTCCAAGGCATAACTACTGTTTTTTACACTTTTTTACTAGTGTGGTAAGCAATCTTAAAAGTATACCTAAATATATTACGCCTTATTTTAAACATCCAGGGGATATAACTGTCAATGTAGTAATCCGAGCATTGTAAACATTGCCCGGGCAATCTATATATAGAATGCCCAGAAGGTATAGGTAAATAAAGAATAGACGTTGGCTTTTATTCCTCATAAGATCACTTTGCGCTTCCTCCTCTGTGATCTAAACATAACTAAGTGAAGCATATTATTCTAGATTAATCTAAAGAACCCTTTAAACATTCTAGAGATTGACAGTGTAATGTACGAAAAACATGCTTTAAATATTATATGTATTACCCAATCTTAGTCGACATTCTATAATATATTTCGGGCAATCTATTCAATATCCGGAATCAGTACATTGATCATAACATACATAAATGAGCCGTTTATTTTGAGAGTAGCCGTACTCCATTTTCCAAAAAAAATCGAGTTAGCTACAGTAATAGTTACATTTTCATATGATCTTTTCATTCTGAAGCTTCATTTTAGAACCTATTTGTTACTAATATATTTAAAATCATGATTTTCAACAAGAAAATATGCTTATTAATGAAATGATGAAAAAGTTTATTTTAAAAGTGGCCTAACTCCATTATTCAATTATTTTTTTCCGATTTCACAAATGCCCTCTCTGCTAATCTTATGTGCCAGCGCACTAATTTGAGATAATAAAATGGACGCGTTTTTGGTTAAATTTCCATTAATTACATTACAAATGTATATGTACACTGAGAGGAAACATCAGACTGGTGCTAGCGCCGCTAAAATTCACATACCGCATAAAAAAAATTGCTCGAAAAAAATAGAACAAAAATAGTATCATATAAAAAAGGACCGCACAAAAACAGGTTTTACTGAACTTTATTGTAAATAAAATGAGACAAAAAGATTTTGTATGAATAAAATTATTAGAAGACGTAATTTTGAAAAGGGTAAAAAATTCTTATGAAGAATCAACAAACTAGTTAAAAGTATGTTTGATGCGTTTTGTCAAAAATGAACCGAATCAAATGTTCTATAAGACATCAATAAATGAGAATCAAAATTTAAAAGTCCTAAATTTATTACCACGTCTAGGTAGACCAAGAAAGTCCGAAAATATTGTATTGACACCACTATATAAAAATATCAGACAAATTACAACAGCAAGATTTAAGGACACAATTAACATATTACGATATATACCACCGGAACATCATAATTTCTTCAAATCTCTTTCACACACACAAAATGTAGAAGAGTAATAAATTGCTGTGTAGGTTATGTTTGTAATTTTGTACGTTATGTAGTAAAAAAATTTTTTGAATCGCAAAAATTATGTTTCTGAAGCTTTTTAAAGATATGTAAAATAAATTGAGTATTGTTTTTTTTTTTCAATTTGAAGTATCTTAAATTATGTTGAATGGAGTTAAGTCCCTTCGAAATTTTATAACAAATGCGATTTTTGATTTTGACAATAACCTAATTCCTTCATTTGTGGTTAGAAATAACATACTATTCCCTTAATAATTGACAGTATTTTATTAGGAACTATAAATTAACAACCTTTAGATACACTTAAGCAGTAATTGCATTGAAACGCAGACCCTTCAATATCCCGATTCGAACGAAAATGGAACTAGGCAACTTTTAAAATAAACGGCTTAAATATTTTATTCTATATTTTCGTTTTTTTTAATAATATTCGGTTGGCAAATGAGTCATTGCGGATTTTATCGACAGTAGGAGTTTCCACTTTCTTTTGTTTCGTTAATTTGTTAACAATAGCTAACCTATATTTTTACTTATTGTTTTGACATCTACGTTTAATTCAGTAAAAAAATTATATCGATTAGCTCTTTAGTTTTGTTTTTATCCCAATCTTAAAATGAAATAACAAGACGTGCACTTCAGACATATTTTGTTGTATTATTTCCGAAAAGGCAAGAACGCAACACAAGCACACAAAAAGTTATCTGCAATATATGGCAATAAAGTCTTGAAGGAAAGGCAGTGTCAGAATTAGTATGACAGATTTCGTTTTATGGATTTTTTATTGAAAAACGCTCAATGATCTAGCCGTCCAGTTGAAGTTGATGAGACCCGTATCAAGGCCATTATCGATTCAGATCGTCCTATCACAACACGTGATATTGTACAGAAGCTAAATGTATCGCAGACATGCATTGGAAAAAGTTTAAAAAAGCTTGGTTATGTCAAGAAACTTGATCTCAGGATCCCTCACCAGCTGAAGGAAATTCATTTGGCGTCTGCGATTCGCTTCTGAAACGCAACAAAATTGATCCTATTTTGAAAAGACAAATTACTGGCGACAAAAATTGGATAGTTTATAACTACGTCAATCGGAACAGATCAATGCAAGATGAACCAGCCCAAACGAAATCAAAAAAAGAGAATCACAAAACAAAAAGATTATGCTGTCAGTCTAGTGGGATTATAAAGGAATTCTGCACTTTGAACATTTACCAAAAAACCACACGAGCAATTTGAGCCTGTACATTCAACAACTCGCCAAACTAAGCAATGCAATTCAAGCAAAGCGACAAGAATTGGCAAATCGTAAGGGTGTTGTTTTACCCCATGATAATGCAAAGTTTCACACATCTTTGGTCACTCGTCAAAAATTATTGGATATGTTTGAGGTGTGTTGTCACATCCACTGTTATGGCCGAAATTCCTCAACTAAGAGTCCTCTGGCAATTGGTTTATGCTATGAAGTGGAGAATAAAGGGTTAGGTTAAGGTGTAAAATAAAACACGTGATTGAGCCAACTAAAAAAACAATGCCTTTTTTATTGGCTCGTCAGGGAAAAGCCTTGCGGCATAAAAACCCTGGATGAATACTTGATTATACAGTAAGAAGGTACCACGTGGTTGTACCACGAGGGAAAATACCGTCGATGTGAAATATATATATATATTGGAAAGATCTCACCTCTCGCACTCCGCCAATATCGCGATCACAACCTTAAGGGTTGTGATGTGGAATGGGCTCACTTTCACGAGTCTTGAAGATTAGGATATTCTCTTCGTTGTCCTTTGTGAATTCTTAAAGCCTCTATAATCCCTCAAGATGTGTAGTCGTAGGCGTCCGGTGAAGAATAGAAAGAATGCCCCTTTTACTGTCCCAGCAGGACGTACGTACTAGGGCTATGAGAAGTGGGAATGCGAGAGGCGGGGGTAGCTAGAGAAGCGCTTCGATAGTTATTGGTGGTTGATCGATGCTCACAGTAAGTATCGATCTAGAATCCTAATCGATGGAAGTGGATGCGCGCGAGTTTCGAATACCGCTAATCACCGTACGATCCTTTCGGATCGTACATCCACTATATAGCCCTGACCTTGCGCCTTCAGACTACCATTTATTTCGTTCTATGCAGTACTCCTTAAATGGTCAAATTTTTAATAACGCTAAGATGTCAAATTACACCTAACTAAGTTTTTTGATAGCAAAGATAAGAAATTTGATGAACGTGATATTATGACACTGCCTGATCGATGGCAAGAGATCATCAACAAAAATGGACATTACTTAATTGAATAAACTTATACTTTTGGGCAAAAATTTTGAATTCTAATTCTTATTTAAAATCTGCAATCACTTAGTTGCCAACCCAATATATTCTTTCTTTTTCTTTATTATCAATATTACTCTTTAATTATCCAGAAACTTACTGCAATA